TTTTATTTATTTAGTCAATCAAAATTTCAATTAAAAATGATGAAAATAATAACAGTTATTAAAATTACTACAAATAATTAATAAAATTAAATTTATTAAAAAAACATTTATTCATATTAAATTAACAATAATTATTTTCTGTAAATCAACATTAAATGAAAAATACAATTATTAAATTTTAAATATTGACAATAACTTTGAATACTTTTAGTTAATTAACAACTTTTGATTATTAATTTATCAATTAATTAATAGTAAATAAAATTATTCAATCTTTTAGATTTCCCCATGCATTGCATGGGACTCCACTAGTATAGTATAAATGTTGAGCATGTCAGTATCTAAATCAGTTTGAATCGATTCAAACAGACAGTGGTAGATCCATATTTGATCTAATTGTAAACAATTCAAATTCAATCATCCTTACTTAGAGGCCCAATTTGAGTTCTGACAAACAACTATTGTTCTCAGCCCTCCGAGTATATAAGTAAAGATATAGATTTTGCAGCAAGTCATTTGACATATTTACTGCCAATTGGCTAGATTTTGCTCCTGTTTTTAAAAAAAGGGTCATTTACCAAAACATTCCCTATAGTTTCATGAATTTACTAAAACCTATCCTATAATTTACAATCAATTTACTTAATCGACCTTCTATTAGATGACAGTGGGAATGACAGTTTTAACCTTAACATCCATTCAAATATATTTAATCAAAAGAAACTAAAAATAAAAATAAAAATTTCATTTTTGCCCCTAATAAAACACAGATAACCACTCTATTTTTTTTTTCTATTTGGTCAATTTTGTTTTCTATACAAAAAAGTGTAAGGAGTACTTTTGGATTAAACAACCATGGATCCATACCCTTGAACATCTTCCACTCAGTTTAGGTAATTATGTTACTATTTTCATATGGAAAAACAAATAATTCTTAATGAAAGTTTGGTTAAGTAAATAGGTTGCAAACTATAAGGGATGTATTAGTGAAATACAAACAATAGGATAGGTTTAAATAAATCTATGAAACTATAGGGGGTGTTCTAGTAAGTGGCATTAAAAAAAAAAGAGAAAATGGTCATATTCACGAAATTGATGACAAGGCCACACCTCCTATAATTTTGTTTCTTTTTTTTTTCTTTAACTTTGTGCTCAGGTAGTCAGGTGGCCTTAAGGCCCTTAACATATATCAAACTTGAATAGTATAGTACTATTTCCTCTTTTATAAAAAGGAGCAAACATCAATTCAGTTGGTAAGGTCTCTAACTGGATGCAAATGCACTCTTAATTTATTAAAAAATAGATTACCAAAAAAATATTTATTAAAAAATAGAAAATTTTGAGAAAAAAAAAGAAAGACAAGAGAGTTGGATATATCTTGGAACATTTCAAATTAAAGGCCTTCGCTCTCCTAAAATATATTGTTTTCTTCTTTCATACTCCAAAAAATTGAAACAACTACTCACATCTAGAAAAGAAAAAACTGCCACATCAACAAAAATAATATAATTTTACTTAATTATTTTTGTTTTTAAAAAGCAAAATCATACACATTGACAAAGAAACCATAAATCAACCAACACGTAATAATTAGGCATTATTTGATGTATAAGTACGTGATAATTAATGTAGAAATTACAAAATATATATAAAATAATTAAAAATCTATATATACCATTCCACCATCATGGAATTGATATTGTCCGGACCAAAACTGAAATGCTCACCGGGTTACACTGTTTTTCAACCAGGACCCGTGATGGTAACTGGGTTTGCCATCAGTTCAACCGTTCCGAGCCTTTGATTGGCTTCAACGTTAGCAGAAAATTAACCAAAGCACTGAGGTTTTTTATTTCTTTTCTTTTCTTTTGAGTGCGTAAGGATAATCCTTCCCCATGTGATCAATGATTTCGAGATAGCAAGTCTCAATTACGAGAATTTTTGGGTTAAGTGCATTTATCCGAGTAAATAATTTATTGATAAATGAATGAAGCCTAAAGGTTGATTTAGTTTATAGTTAGAATCAGAATTCAAATCTGCCGAAATTTAAATTGGAATGATCTATTCCTTATCTGTTAGATTCAGATAGGAATTGGAATGAAAATTGAAATAAACTGGAATGAGATTTCATTTGTAGGGGAGGGGGAGGGAATGACTATTTCCTCAAATTGGGAAATGCCATTCCATCAAGAATGGGAATGGGATTCCAATTTCGCCCAACCCCAACCAAATAATTAGACATTTCGATTTCAATTCCAAACTCCCCCACAAACCAAACGTGCCCTAAATTATTACTGAGTCCAAAAAACCTAATAAGGGCTCTGCCCCTACACCCCAACAGACCACTATGAAATGTTTTTTTTTTTTTTTATCGTTTTGGCAAAAAAAGCAGCTTCCAATAATGGTTAAAGAGCGAACTGTACATGAGTTTGGTGGAGTGAGTTATAGTAGATGGATATTTTGCCTTTACAGGCTAAATATGCTAGAGTATGCGCAGCCTGATTTAAGGATCTGTTGATATGTACAAAACACAGTTTTTCAAAAGTTTTGAGAATCTGATGTAAACTAACACTGTCCTGTACCTTTTTCTGGGTTGAGCCCGACTACTTGTAACTGATCGACACCATACCGCCCTGGCCCCTGGAGAAGGCACAAGTGAAGAATAGATGCTGTGGTGTTTCTGCGGTCGAGTTGCAAAGGGACACTGGAGCTCATCTCTTTGCATCCACTGTCTATACTTAACTCGAGTAGGAACGTAACACCATCCCATGCTAGTTTCCACAGAAAACCTGCACATCTGTATGGTATTTTAAGTTTCCATAACAGTACTCCAATTGAGGTGAGGTTCAGATGAAGATGGATTGGAGTTTATTAGGGAATGGTAGGCCGTTTTTACTGTGTAATTGCCTGATGATGTGCTGCACTCCAGATCACTGTATCTTGTCCTGTGTCAGCAGTTGGGGTTATTTGAAAGATATGCGAGTGTGCTGATGCTGAGGGCTCAAAAAATTGGTGCACTAGGGGTTGATTCCAGCTCCCATCCCGGTTGATGAAATGTGAAACTTTTGAGAGGGGAGAAGTTGATCAATGGGATTTTGGTTCTTATTGACCAAGAATCCCTTGTTCTTTTTTCACATTTATATGGGGATCAAGGAAAGCTTATTTTCCTCCCATTTCTTAGGTGGGTAAATAACTTTTCCATCTTGGAGGAAAATTGCCAACATTTGAATGGGACAAAAATGCCCCTTTTAATAATGGATTTTTATGAATTAAATGGTCATTGCCTTATTTACAAGAGAAATAAAAGAACATGAATAAATACACTTATCCGAGTAAGTGTTTCTCAAAAAATACTTATCCAAATAAATAACTTACCAAAAAGGAAACAGGGCCTTAGTTTCCTAATGCATTAGTTGGTGGGGTAGGGATCTAGGGGTCTGCAAAAGCAATACGTTCCAATATGTATTTGCCATACTAGCTAGATTTGGCCTAAGTTCATCGAGGGTTTTATGAGCTTGTTTCCACTGGTAACATGAATTTTTACATGGCTTGGTTTCAAATAGGCTTTTATTTGGAAAATATTTCTGTTTCATCATTCTGCTCCAAAGTGAATTTGAATTTGCTATCAACCTCCAAGCTTGCGACTATGAAATGTTTTGAACTATGTCATCCCGACCTTTTCCTTGGTGATGTATGCCTTATTCAGGGGTTTTTAACAAGTGTTACCTACTTAAAACTTCAAAGGTCGTATTATAAACATGTGCCAAGGATAAAGAACACATGTGCTGAGTTCACAACATCATTTCAACTGCTTTTTAATTCCCATCACTGGCGTGCACGTATTTTATTGGGAGATCGAATCAGCCTCCCACAAGATTGCTCCCCTACCCTACATCTCCGCCATGTATTGGTAACATCTCCGATTGATAATATCAGAAATGATGATTATTATGGGGAGATATTTCCAATACACAGCAAGAATGTACTGTGAGACGTTGTGGGGGGCAATCTTGTGGGGGGCTGATTCGAACTCTTTTATTGAAGTCGGGAGTCTTGAAACCATGGTCTTTTGGACGTGCCGCGTGGCCAATTCCTGAAACTTGAAAAACTTTTCCATCCGATCAGAGTATGATCCCTTTATATCACATGATATGCAATGATGCGCGCATCGATATACCATGGACCTTGCTCAGTAAATGTGAACTCCAAGGATTAGGGTTAAAATCTGACACATGGATAGTGGGGACTGGGGATTGGCTAATGAGATCACACGAGACCTCTTGGGCTCCAGCCATCTCATGCCATAGAAGATCCCCCAGATTGTTTATACTTCATTAAACATTAGTCAGAAGTAACTAAAGTTCAATGTGTCAACAAAACCGTTAACCATTGGTTTGTGACCATATGCACATCTTGTAACCATCAAGTATCAGTCATGCTCACTGAAGAAGACATTTCCCATCAGAAGTATATGCTTGACAATTGAAAATTAATCAGGGACAAACAAATAATAACAATTCAAGGCCTCGGTTCATTTTTTGGTAAGTTATTTATCCAGGTAAATGCACTTACTCTAGTTTATTCATGTTTTTTATTTCTTAGGTAAATAAGACAATGATCATTCTAGCCATAAAGTTCATTATTAAAAGATACATTTTTATCCCATCCAAGTTCGGGCAACTTTCCCCACATAGGGAAAAGTTATTTAACCACCTGGGAGATGGGTATCACTTACCCCCTCCCCACACAAATCTGAAAAAAGAACACTAGTTTCTTGGTCAATAGGATTAACAATCCCATTGACCAACTTCTCCCCTCTCAAAATCCAAAAATCAAATGCCCCAAAAGGTTAAATACAAAGTCTATGTTGCCTCCAAGTAAGCTGCATACAGAGGATGCCAACATATTTCGTCCATGAGAATACCCCGTGAAGGATGGAAAGCTCTTTAGACATGAGCTCCCTGTTTATCTACAAAACATCAGTCCAATAACAGATAATGGAACTGTTAACACTATCTCAACAACTACAAAATAAGTTAGTTCTTCCCAACTTTGTTTTATGCCAGTTTAAGAGAACTAGGTCACAGGAACAAGCTAACTTCAGAGTTCAGCTTTAAGAATTCAAAATTCCTTGATATATACCAATTTTCAAACTCCATTTCTGGGCCTAAATCAAAAAAAAAAAAAAACAATTTTCAGAAGTAGAGATATATCTCATGCTCATGCCTCACCGCATATGCAAATATTTCTTGCTAACTGGTTTTAACAAAAACCAGATGTTGTAGTTTTACCAAGCATGTTGGTGTTATTTCTCTTACTCTACTTTCAAATCTGTTCCGAATCAGGGTTTTCACTATGTCCGTTCAAAGAGAACTCCAGTCTATTCCATTTTGTACGCAATGTAATCACCAAAAGGGTGCTGGCCTGGCAGAAGAGGCCACAAATCAGACCAATCCACAATCCCTGCACCAAAACAAGCTGACTTTATCAGGTATTTTCCCTTCCAAGATTATTACAACTTTTAAACTTGGAACTATATGTGGTATTATCAGGGATCCGAGCAATTATTTATTTGATTTCTGCCATTAACTATATATATTTATCTGAAGAATTAGTCTAAAACAACAGAACCATTTGACAGATAAGTTCAGATATGCAATTGAATTCAATAGATAGATCACCTTAACATATAATCCAAACTTAAAGCCAAGGAGGATAGCTATTGGCATGCCAATAATGTAGAAGGCTGCCAAATTGGTCCATGCAGCCAAATGCTGCCAACCACATCCTCTGCACACACCTGTAAAATTAAGAATGCCTGCGTCAGTTGAAGTAAATGACTGAAAACAATTCATCATTGTAGAAACTACGGATGTCACTGACCTGATAACACACCCTGTGCTGAATCAAGTAATAAAGAGATGGCAAGCAGTGGAGTCATGGAAGCAAATCCACTCTTTATTACAAGACTGTCACTGAAGAAACCAGCCCACATATTATGGCCAAGAAGCAGGGCTATAACAACTATAAGAGCCAGAACAACAGCAAGCTTGAGAGTCACTGCCACAGCGTTCTTAGCTCGATCCACATTTGTTGCTCCCAATTCATTTGACACCCTTGTGCTGTAAGAGAATGCCCCTTTAATTATCTAGGTAAAACTGGTGAAAACATTTTATCTAACAGAAAGCTCAGGTACATCAAACTCTTCCCCAAGCATACCTTACAGCAGCACTGAAACCATAGATTATATTGAATATCACAGCCTCTGTGGTCACACTACATTGATAACATAGATCAGATAATTCCCAAAATAGAATCACACTAAAACATTTAGAATGCTCAAATTCAGAACATGTAGAATGTACAAGAGGAGTGTGAAGATGCTATACCACATTGCTATCAAAGAAGTAGTTCTCTCTGAGTTGGGCATCAATCCAGCCAGTATCACCAGAATCTCAAAAGCCCACAACTCCAGACTGATATTAGAGAAAATTAATAAAATAAAAAAATGACAATCTATCAGATCAAATTAAGCCTGAGCATAGAGAAAATAGAATACCATGAAGCAGTAGTTAACTTACCATACCATGATTGCAGAGGGGATGGCCAACTTCATGGTTGGCAGTACGTGGTGGAAGCATTCCATGGAGAGACCTTCCCATGTACGCTTGAACCCGTTAGCATAGTTGACATAGAAGGCCAGCATTAGCAATGAAATCCACAATGATATAGCAGCTGCCAATGGTGCTCCCCTGAAACCCAGAGGAGTTAAGTGAACCAGTACATATGCAAGGCCGACATGGATGAACAATGGGACCAGGGAGCACACAACAAGAGGTATTACAACAGTCTGTGTCTGAAGAAATCTGAGGATGCATTGCAGAAAGCCGAATGAGAAGAGACCCGGGATTAGATACTTCATGTAGAGACCAGCCATTTGGGCTATTTGAGGATCTTGGTGAAGAAAAATCAGTATGGGTTGTGAATAGAACCAGACAAAACATACAAGGACAGAGAAGATGAAAGAGATGATGATTGACGATTGTAGATATACCCCTAACATCCTGTATAACTTGGCACCATATCCTTGTCCACAAAGTGTTTCAAGCGCACCACTTAGACCAGTCTGAAGAATAACAGCATGAAGCAAGGAACAGGTTTAGCATAGAACCATGAAAAGTAGAAGTTGGAAAAATACATAATAAAAATTACTCGGAAAAAGATTAAAATTTATTGTTTCCATCCATCACTATCATCATATAAATCCTGATATAGCTTCTATTCTGTTATTATCATGATTTAAATTCCTTTCTTATCATGATTTAAGCTATTTGGTTTATTTATTAAAACAGTTTGTTTCTGTCCTATGATAATAGTGATAGATAAGAGACTTTCCAGGCTTGGCTTTCTGCCACCTTTCTCATTTTCTCTGCGTTGGAGTCCGTGGATGGACTTAACTGATGAATTAGCATTTTCAGGTGGATCTACTCGAGGTAGTAATTGGCAAGATTGAGAGACAATTGGCTTTCTAGGGATCCATTTTGGAGGACTTAAAAGGCTATCTTTGATTTGATAGAAAATATGAGGGAAAAACAAAGTTGAGGGAAAGTTCTTCAGGATTTTCACAAAGTCCTCACTTTCATTGCTCCTGCAGGTTGCAGACTTGCAGGTAATCGCTTAAAAAAACATAATTAGTAATTCGCGAGGGGAAAGGATAACTAATCCATCAATAATGCTGTAAGGTCAAACAGATCATTCACGGAGCAATTTGTGCAATAGCAAACTCATTAAAGCATTAAAAGAAATAAAAAGAAAAGCAGGAAAAAACCACATGATAGATCATCTCTCAACTAATAATCTCGTTTTGTTTTAATTTATGATCCACATAAGAGTACTCTTCTGCCACTAGATTGCTATCTACTTGGCGACAATTCCAATTTGTCCCATTGAAGTGTCAACTCAAGTGGTTTCCCTATATTTTATCCAAACACCGGAATTGGATGGATCAAGTCTGCAATGTAATTCTTCTAAAGAAGAAGAAGAAGCGGTGAGAGTTGCTGACCGTGAGAGCAAAACCAGTGACAAAGGCCCAAGAGTTAGCGAGGGTGGCGCCTGCAAGCTCAAGCTCACCCAGGTGACCAGCAAACATGACGGATATGAGAGGGATGGCGTAATAAGAGACGTTGGTAAGGATCATGGGCAAAGAGAACAGAACTTGTTTCTTGGCCTCCTCCATGTCCAACACCTTCCTCCATCCTGATTCTCTCCTCTCCAATAAAAACGGTTCTGTTGCACCACTCGAATAATTCATCCTTACACCCTCTTTGCCTGGTGATTTTCTTCTCCTCCTACGCCTTTAATTTCTTAGACTTGGATGGATAACCTCCTCCCCTAATTCTCTGCTCTGCGAGGAGGATGTCTAACAAAGACTGAAAGATTATTGGATTTCAATGAGAAATCTCATAAGGAGTGGTTGAGAGATGAGAAAAGGCAACTTGCATAACCCAGAACACCCCCTTAATCGTGCAACTGCTACAACCAGGGGGAGACCTAACAACCACCGGTTGGCACATGCCGCAACAGCTGTGGTGGTGGAGCCCATGGTGACGCAGCAAGTTGTCGTATAGAGCATATAGCCCATGCCCCATGGAGGATACCCAAAATCTATCGAAAGAACTTATCAGTCATCCAAACAGGCAAAAACATAAATAAAAAAACATGTTGTTGTCCTATAAGACTTCAGTCTTTAAAAACATTTGAAAGCCTCCTCAACCATAAATACTCAGCCTGTACAGAGGTCAGTGGCCGTGGCGTGGCATTAGAAAGCCCAAAGACATTAACTCAGCCTGTATGGAAAAGTTATTATTGGAGAATTCTAAACGATGAGAACAGTCTGTTGGTCAATCTCATCAAAGCCAGATACTTGAAAGGAAAAGGCTTGAAGTTAAAAAAAGGTCTGAGATCGATGGAAAAAGAACATTTCTTTCTGGGTGGATAATTGGAAGGGCGAGAGGCCCTTAAGGAACAAAGCTAAGCAAGAGGGCCTACAAAACCATGACTTAAGTGCAAAAGTTGAGTGGTTTATATTAATCAACAAAATAGAGAGTAGGACTTAATTAAACTCATTATGTGTCACTCTCTCTGCAGAAATCTTAGCTAAAATAAAAGGAACCTATATCTCAAGGGAGGGCGTGGAGGATAAACAGGTCTAGGAACCCAGCTCATCAAATGGTCAATTTAGCATCAAGTCTGCAGCCACCTAGCTAAATGCACAAGAACTCAGGATACCCAAGATGTATTGCATCTGAAAAATTAATTTTGGTGAGAATCCCAAAAATAATTTTTTTCTTCTATGGCATGTTATTGTTGGGAAGGTTCTCAGCAAAACTAGTTTACAAGAAAAGAGTTAGGGCCTAGGAGATAAAATCTATGTGGTCTAGAACTGGAGGACACAGACCACCTATTTGTGAACTGCATGCTGGCAGCTGTTAATAAGCAACTAAAGGTTGCTAGTTAATCAGATACTCTTTGGACCCCATGAATGTGAAGATAGATTAGCTTGGCTCAAGAGAATAAAAAGCCTTTCCTGATGCCAAGTCTAAGGCAAAAAGATTGGCTTTTATTATTTGGAACATTTGGCTTCAGAGAAATAAATCTCTTTGATAAGGCGACCATTGATAAAAGATGATTTCACCTTAATTTTCTTTGCCTTCCCTAACAGGTTGTGAAAGAAAAAACACCATAATTAAGATGCATTAGTTGGCCTCCCAAAGTATAACCAAATTAAATTCAATTTTGATGCTTCATGTGTCCAAGGGATGGGTCAAGCTGCAATTGATTGTGTTGCAAGAGAATATAGGGGCAGCATCATTAATCTTCATTGTAAGTTGATTGAATTCAAATTCCCCCACGAGATTGCCCCCCACAACGTCCCACAGCATATCTTTGCCGTGTATTGAGAGCATCTCCCGATGATAATATCATTTTTAAGATTATCATCGGAAAATATTCCCAATACATGGCGAAGATGTGCTGTGGAACGTTGTGGGGGGCTGATTTGAACTCAAGTTGATTGGCAAACTGTTGACTTACATCAAAACAACCCCTAATAGACTGAGATTGGATCTCCTACCCACAGAACACTACAGCTGTACATTAAGAACATCTTCCGTGTTTATATGTTGTCATTATGAAGAGATGTTCCTAATGTATAATAGCTGCAGTATCCTGTGGGTAGGTGTGGATAGGCTCGTAGATCGAGATTGGTCAACCAAGGCCACTTCACTTTTTTTTGTTTTGTACAAATAAAGTAAGAACTTATCAATTATCACTTTAAAAGAAATAAAGAAAGAAAAAACTTTTCATCAGTATAAAAAACATTGACTTCAACCCTAAAACAACCCTACAATACTTCAACCAAACACAACCCAATCATATAGGGTACCTATCAATTGCATTTTTATAATATTTTTAAAGCCCAATAACCATTAATTTAAGTTGATATTTTGTTTGTGTTTCAAGATGCATTTCCCCCATACTAAAAGAAAAATAAAAAGAACATCAAAATAATACCTAAAATTTAAGATTATGGGGTTAGAAGGCATGCAAAATTATAATAATATATAGGGGCATAATGAGCCATCGGGTCAAGGCAACTGGGCCCAAACCTGACTCGGGTTGAAGCATTGAAACCCTAACACAACCCTAAACCCAAATAAGTCTGACCCTATAGGACCAAGTCAAGTTCGGTTTCCATTTAACCCAACCCATTAACATCCCTAGTTGGTGGGCTTTTGTTTTAGATTGAATTGTTGCCGCATCAATTTGATAGAGCATATTCAATTTCAAATGGAAATTCACAAATGGAGGGCATTGAAGTCAAGAGTATACAACAGTATAGACATTTCAAAATGCCACTCTTTCTCTCTCTCTCTTAAACACATAAGAGTATACAATTGTTTTAAACTTTAACTTTTTAAATAATTAATAATTATTTATATGTTATATACTAGTTTTAATATTTTTTTGTAATACAAAAATAACAATAATTAATTTCAACTAAAACTTTTCATCAAACTGATGAAGCCAACCAACCCAACCTAACTCGACCTAATTTGGTCAATTTTCTAGTATTTGCTATTGGCTTCGGTTCAGCAATTTGCCAATTTCCCAAACCAAACAGGTTAGGTCAATTTCTGTTTGTCCATTTGTAAACCAACCAAAATTGAACCAACCCGACCATAGATATATATTAATATTTTATATTTTAAATATAATTTTTTAATACAGGAAATTAAGAAAAATCCTATATTTTTTAGTCTAAAATATTTTATACTATAAATTTTTAATTTTTAATTTATTTTTTTAATAATACTACTATAATTTTTAAATTTAAATTTAAATTTTTAAGTTTAAATCTTTTGAACCAACTAACCAAACCAAAATTGACCCAAATCGATACAAACCAAGTTAGCTGGTTTTCACTAATGGTCGGTCGATTTTGGGTGGCCAACTCCCCAACTCGACTATGTCGGTTTGATTGGCCAAACAACCTACAATCAAACTGAACCAACTTGTGAACACTCCTACTTTCAGTTAAATTAATAGTCTAACTTCTAATAAATAATAATAGTTTAGTCTCCTATAATTATTGAAAATTGATAACAAAAATACAATAAATAAATAATAAAAATACAATAAATAAAATAATAATAAAATAATTATAAAAATACGATAAATACTGAAAATATATTAAATTAGTCAACAAATAATGTAATCTCCAATAATAGTTTAGTCTCAAATAAATTATAACAAAAATATATAATTACTAAAAAATTTATAAAAAAATACAATAAATCAAATAAGTACAATAAATTAAATTTTAAATAACAATAATTTAATCCCCAATAATTATTGAAATTTTCTATTAAATAACAAAACAAAATTAGATTTATACATAATTATTCAAAATATATTTATAATAAAAATACAATAAATATTAATTTTATGATATATATATAATAAATATAGATTAAAAATCTAAATTATTATTAATAAATATTTTCTTTGAAAGTTATTTTCTAGAAATATTAGTTGATTTAAGCGAAATAATATTTTTATTATTAGTACATTAATAATTTCAATTATTATTCTACTTTTAAAACTTATTCAAAGTATTTGCTTGAAAGTTATTACATATTTTTGTTAAATGGAAGCTTCATTACCTATAAATTATTTGATATATTTTCCATTATTTTAATAATATATAAAAAACCTTAAATTATTTATGTGTTATATTCTTATTATCAAATATTATTAATTATATTATCATTAAATTTTAACATATTAATTATTTTTGCTATTATTATAATTTATACTATTTTAATTTCATAAAATATAATTTATTATTACATAATTTCGTTATTAATTTTGTAAAATATAAAATTATTATTAATTCGAGTATTATGAAATCTATTATAATTATCTTTGTACTTTTAAGATTTTTTTTTAAATTGATTACATTATTTCATTATTTTAACTATTTAAAATTAGTTATTTTAAATATTTAAATAATATGTAAAATATTTAAAACTTATATTTATTTAAATTTTATTTATTTCAAATTTATTATGTAGTATTAAATATTTTTTTTATATAATCATTTAGCTATTTTTAATATTTTATTATTTAAAATATTTAGTTATTGAAATATTTAAATATTTTTTTTTATTTTTTAATTTATTATTTTAATAGAATTTATATAATTTTATTATTTAAATTTTTAAAATATTATTTAGTCATTAAATTGAATCATCCATAAAATTATAATTTATATTGTTATTACATAATTTCATTATGAATTTTACAAAAATATAAAATTATTAATAATATGAGTATTATTAATAAATATATTATAATTATTTTTGTGTTTTTAATAAATATTTTAAAGTTGTTACATAATTTTATTATAATATTTAAATAATTCCTAAATTTTTTAATTCAAACTTTCTTTAGACACATATAGATGAAAAGTGGGGGGAGAGGATAAATAGGAATTAGGGATAACTTAGGAGATAAATAGGAATTAGATATAATTTATGAGAAAGTGGGGGATAGTGGTGCCACTTGGCTAAACATGGGAAAAGCAAATCTCTCTTTCTTGCCTTGATAATTCTCTTGTCATGTGGCCTATTAAGAGGCCTAGGTAGTGTGAAAGGAATCAAGGGAGAAACTCAATGAGAGAGCAGGGATTGGGTAAGGAAGAAAGGAGAGGAGAGGGAATGGGAGAAGGGGAGGGCTACTGGCATGGACCATGTCTCTATATATATAGTACTAATGTTGACTTGTGTGATGCACGAGCTGCTTATTAAAAATGCATTTTAAGAGAAAATTTTAGTAGTCGGGAGTTTACAAGGATTTTATATATTTTTAGTTCTTTACACATAAAATGGTAGAAAATATAATTTTATTTTCTTTTTTAGTTATTGAACTTCAAACTTGTTCCTTTTTATATAGCTTATATATTATGAGAAGTACATAAAT